TTTCTAAGCTGTGTTATTTGACAGACGCTGGGTAGGACAGAGCTTCCGGTTCTATTTTCACTTCAGTGCAGATGTGAAAGTTCCAGTTAATGAGAGCGTTGTGTAAGTGTTTGTGTTTCAGGAAGAAAAGGCCCCCCGAATCTGCCTTAAAGCTTTAGATATTCTGTACAGGGAATAAAGTGACATGCTCAAATTAACTGTGGCCAGACAGATCCACATGATATGAATATAAATGTTTGAGTCTTGTTCAAATTAAGGTTCTTGGTATCAGGGAAAGCTTTCTCGCCAAGCCAGTCAAAATCACTGTATCTCACTCTTCTGCTGGGGTATATAGTACAAAATTTGCATTGGACTCAACTGTGAGATTTTATTCAATATATTTTAATACATTTAAAGGAAACTTCTTCAGGGGTCTAAATTTTGGGGTTCATATTTCTTTTCTTTGCTTTTGGGGAACTTCAAAAATCTTTTTGCTTTATGTTCAATGGTTACATGGTTAATTGGAAAGATTCTGTGGAGGCTAGAATTTGAATGTTGGAGTCAGCAGACAGGTTTCCATGCCTTACTATCTGGTGATCAAAAGCAGGGGAGTTTACCAAAAAAACAGCTTGCTGAAGGACTAATTCCTTGAATTGTTATTTCTCCAAAGATTATTTCTCTGAAAATCAATTCACCAAAATCCACTTCCACTAGGAAGCGATTCATGGAGTGACCAATTTGCCAAATCACTGATTTATCAAAACTTTCCTTCTGTTCAGCTTTCCTAAGGTTTATAGCGAATCCTGTTGTCCAAAGTGACTGCAGCAGCTTTGGGATATTTCAAAGTTTTAGTTTGATTTGGTTTTAACTCATCTCCGTTTTTATTTTTGCTGCAACCGTTTTGCATTAACTAATGGATAGGCTCTGACTAAACTTCAGTGTGCTCCAGGTTTTCTCAGAGTCTCTGAGTTTTGGGAATTATAATTAATGTATTTCAAATTGTAGTGTTGTGCTTGTCTTAAAATCAAGGACTTTTTATAAATCATAAGGATAAGGTAAGTTTCTGTCATCCAATTCATTTTTAATCTGGTCCATTCCCTTTTGTCCAGTTTTGATTGATAGATTTGCTAACTGGATAAATCAAATGGATTACCTGCAATATATTCTAAATGTTTTTAAAGTGTCTGAAATGTGAAACATATAGGAAATGACATTTAGCTGATTTGGACAGACAAATGTGCTGCAGAGCTGCTGGCCTTAAATGGCCATGGCAAAATAAAAAACTCAACTAAAACTAAGACTAAACAATATTAAACTGACTCTTCAAAATATCATTAAGGGCTGTTGAACCATCCTATGCAACTCAATTTGCTGGAAATTTTATAAAATGCGGAAAGTTTATGACTTCTATTTCTTTGTTATGTTGACTTCGTACTAGTTTATGGGAAGATTCGAAATGAAAGGCAATACCATTATTATAAACAGTAGAAAAGAAGCAGAAATGCCCAGAAGGGATTTTATAATGGGCCATGTAATTGGGACCTCAAAAATTGACATATGCTAATCACCAGTACAAAGTAAATTTAAATTCCTAAAAACTGTTGCCATGAAAACAAAATTAAAACAGGCAACTAAAACTTTAAAAATACTCTTCAAAGCTTTAACTACTATGGATAATATTAATTGCTGTCAAAGTGATAGTTTAAAGAAGTAAGTTCTTGATAAATTCAGCAAATTGGCCACTCTTCAAATTCATCATTTGGTAAATTGGCCCTCAGATGAGTGGATTTCCGCAAATTGCCCTCAAAGTATATGATTTGGGGCAAGTTAGTCAACTCTTCTAAATCTCACTTGCTTCACCCGATGAATGGGGATGATAAAGACGACTACCTCTTAGGGGGCTCGTGAGGATTAAATGAGGTAATGTATGTTACCTTCTACTTAGCTATTTCCTTTCCCTTGGAATCAGGGTCCGCCTATGGCTGGGCCACTAACCGACTCTGCCAGCTCATGTCAATTTTCTGGGCCTTAACTTTCTCAACTTTAAAGTGAAGGGATTTGACTAAACTATCCTTAAGACCTCCTTCTACCCAGAGAATTCTATGGTGTTAAAAACAACAACTTTGGCCTGCTGAATCAAGACCTTCTTAGATCCCAAACCTTCTGAGGCTTAGGTTCCATGGAAGGACAGAATTCGTGGATTAAGGTAACTGGGTCACCGATACTAATTGTGAAGAGCCTCTCTAAATTGTTTGCTAGGATCCCAAATATTTTGTGGTCCCAGGAATCCAAGGTAATGTGCTCTTCAATAATCCCAAGGAAAAACAAGTTTGGTCCTATTTAAGCCATGGATTGAGGAGGAGTGGAGGGACAGAGGGCCCTGACTACATGGGCATCTCTGGGTGGCCCTTGGCTTCAGGTAGATGTCTGAGTATCCGTTCAGCTCCAGGAGGCCCTCCTTATTGATGTCGCTAGAGTATGGGGGATGTGGTAGGGGTCCCTGAGGGTTGACTGGACACCTACTGGCGTATACACTGTGTGAGTGACCTGTTGGTTTCTGTCCCTGTCCATTGTACCCTGGGCTTTTTGTTACTTATCAGAATTGTGCATTTATTTGCTATCCAAAATAGTCTCTTTTTTTATCAAAAGGAGATAAGCATACACTTGACTGTTTTACAGCATCTGAACATTTCTTTGCAAAGCAAGTCTTTATTCTGGCTGGAGCACACCATACTTGTGAATTCAAATTAGTTAGAATAATAAATTAAAAAAAACCTTTTTAGAGCAGACCAACAAGCTTCTGTGAAAAATAGCTACTGCCTAATTTAAAATGCTGTAGAAAAACTCAACTCTCCCTCCTCGATATTTTCTAATGTTAGAGGTTTTCCCCAAACACGGCAAAGTTTACAGATGCACTGATTGTGCATCCAGTCAGTGCTACCTCCTTAGACCAACTGCATTTCCCTACATGATTTGAAGTCTCTAGATCTTCAGGACTTCTAAACGAAGTAAAAAGCACACGCTTTATTTACATTTCCATCCATAAAATGCAGCACAAATCTCACTACATTTAGTCAGGGGAAAAAGAAAGAGACATCTCCATGCTCTAGGAACCATTGACAGAACATATTGCAAGCTTTTCATTAAGTTCACACAAAATGAGGATTTAACGCATGGGCAAAACAGCCCGTCCCTAGAGGTTCCGTGCCCGTAATCCTACCTTGAAAGTAGCTCCATATTAATTGTTGCAGCCAAGTGGACACAGGCTTTTACTGCTCGGCGGTCCCACCTCACAGATAACTCACTGCAATCATGAAAACCTTTGTGTTTTGTTTTCTAACATGTCCTTATTCAAGCAAATATTTCATATGTTCCTTTAAACCCAGAAAATCCACATGGATCAAGCTAAACGTTAATGTCATCAGTGTATTTTGATCTTAACTGCATGACCCTTAGAATATTTATGTGGACATATAGTTGTAAGTACATATGTGTATATAAATATATATATGTGTGTGTGTGTGTATATATATATACACACACACACATACTCTGCTTTAAAAATTAACATCTGAAAATTCATATTTCATAAACTGATAAATTGCAAATTGGCCATCCACATTACCAAAGAACCAGCTGAAGCTTCCTTTAAGTAGTCATATCCCTAGTTAATTTAAAATATGATTTGATTTCTAAGTATTTTATTTTCACTTCACTCCTGGGATGCATTTATTGTTTAAAGTAAAGTGCACCTGGATGAAATGAACGTTTCTAAATTCTGGCTTACCTTTCCCATTTTTGTGCCTCAGATTGTTAACTGTTGAAGTCTTACTTTCTCTAAAATTATGTGGTTCAGTCTTTTAATAGACCCAGGATAATTGAGTTTCCTGGATCACCATTGGGACATATATTACACTTATTTCCTTAAGACAAAGAAAACAGAATTTCCTATGTAGTAAATCCCTCACTACCCACAATTCCACTGTACAAATAAGAACTCAGTTGGTTCAGGGCACTGTACGCAGTTTTCAACTCTGGCATGGTGAAAACTCCTGGCATATAAACAGCCAGTAGGAGTAACATGCCAATTTTGAATTGTTCACTGTTTTTATTATAGGTTCTAGGTTTCAGATGAACAGCAGCCTCCTGTTGCTTTTATAGCAGGAGATTAAATTGCAGCCTCTGGCAGGCGGCACCTGCCCTCTTCCTGGCATGCTCCAGTCAGTCGTCGGCCATGCGATGCTCTAATGTAGTGCATATTTTGTGTTTTGCTCTACATGGGTATTTAAACATTGGGGAACACAATCTCTCTCTGAAGGTATGCAACCCATGGCGTCGGATCTTGATAAAGTCACCACACAACTAAAATTTAGTATGTATGGAAGGTCCTGCCTTCCACAGGGTGTTTCGAGTGGTGAAATGAAACAAAATCTTAGGAGCATCTCAGGCAAATGTAAATACTGTCTTCTTCCCTTTGGGTGGAAATTACCTGAAAGCTCTTTTGCCCTGGCAGTCTATTACATTGACCACATAGTATGTATGATGTGTTTAACTCTACCTATTGTATAGAGAATTAATCATATGTATGTGCACTGATCCCCTGTCTGTGCTCTATAAGGGATCAGTATATTCTCTCCTAAATTTTAAATTAGGGGTATTTGAAATAATTAATAACCACTGGATATACTACCCATCTTTATGATCTGTCTATGAATATTCAATCATAGATTTTAAAAAATTGGAATAAACATTTAAGGCAAAGTTTTAAAAAAAATTTCAGTTCAGAGCAATGTTTAAGTTTCTTATTAAAATAAAAGACAGAGGGCCTGGCCCTGTGGCCAAGTGGTTAAAGTTCTGCACACTCTGCTTTGGCAGCCTGGGTTCGTAGGTTCCCATCCTGGGTGTGTACCTACTCCACTCACTAGCCAGTTGTGGAGGTTTCCCACATACAAAAAAATACAGGAGGATTGGCACAGGTGTTAGCTCAGGGCTTATCTTCCTCAAGGAAAAGAAGAGGAGGATTGGCAGCACATGTTAGCTCAGGGTGAATCTTCCTGAGCAAAAAACTAAAAAAAAAAAGGACACAACTTTAATGTCCTTCGTTTTGGTATTAGCTCTATCTGAAGTTCATTTTTATGGCATTTCTCTAAAGGTCTGTTTTCCACAGTTGCCTAGCAGAGCTTACAATTTATTACTCAGTTAAAAATGGCAATTAAATCTGTTAATACACAACTGTGGAACTATGGATGACTTCTTGAAATGTGATATATTTAACCTTTATCTCAGTTATTTATTAAATCACAAAATATAACATCATAGGATTAGAATAGATCATAAAGTTCTCCAGACCAAACCCCATCTTTTACTTAAATCACCTCTAAAACATTCTTGCCAAACTGTTTTCAAAGGCGTCTCTCATTGTAACGAGTCACCCTAAGACTGGTCTCCTATCCAACATACCAAACAGCGCCCCCTGATCCTCGGCCCTCAGGATGCTCCTTAACCTCCGTGATTAAGAGGAAGCTGAGGCATCTTCTGAACCAGGGAAAAGGTCACTACAGGGTCTCTTACTGACTCTTAATTGAGGGTGTGTCTCTGCATTTTAAGTTTTAAACACCTGATGTGCCCTTAGCAATTGGGCTTTTGTTTCTGACTTTCTGAGAATCTATGGCAAATGAGGTTTCGTTGCCACAAGTCAATAGTTGAAATTTGAAATGTCCTAAGAGGTAGTGGCGTACTGAAACAGGCTCCTGCCAGTAATAAGGGTTTGGCAGTTAAGTGACACTCCCAGTTAAGTGATACTCCTTGACAGCTTGACATCAGTGTTGGGGGAGCATTTACACCACAGAAATTAGCAAGTAGTTTGAACTGTCATCCTAAGGAGATGTTCATAATTGAATGCAAAAGAAGACCACAGGTGAAATGCTTTCCAGATATGTACACTGCCTTACAGAAACCAAATAAAATAAGTATTTTTATTTTAAATTATTTTAAAATAAGTATTATGGTAATGTAGATAACTATGGAAAAATGAGATATGGAACCTTAAGCTAGACACTATTATAAAAGCATCCTTTCTCTCAAAATGACTCATTCTTTTTTGGGCCAGTTATTTAACTTCTTTGGGAAACTTAAAAATTTACTTAGGTGACGTGCAGAAAACCACTATTCTTTGCAAATTTTTCATACGATGGAATCACTGTATAGTTTTAGGTAACTGATCCGTGAACTGAAAGGCTCTGAGTTGACTTGCAGAAGCATTATACAAAGTAATGATAACCATTTTTTTAAGATCTGTGATTACGTATGGATGTGATAATCTGTAGCAGCACTATCAGATAAATAATACATATTTAAAAAATTTCTGTAATTACATGTTTACCCGATAGGCCAGAACGACTCTGTCCCAAGGAGCTGTTACAGACTGAGTAAATAATACATGTTTTAAAGTCCATAATTACATATGTAAACGATAGACTATCGAGTAAATAATGCACATTTTAAAAAGTCCATAATTACATATTTACATGATAGTCTGTAAATTCTGTAATTACTTATTTACACAATAGACCATAACAGCTGTTACAGTCTATTATGTTAACTCTCATAGAATTATATTATGGATTTTTTAAAACGCCGTAAAGAACCTAAGGAATGGAATGATAGAAATGAGGTAAAATATGAACGTCACACTTACTATAGCTTTCCCAAAAGAGGACTGTTTCAAGTTCAAACTGTTTCAAGGCCAAACTCATGACTGATACTTTATTGATAACTGACAAAATTTATTTGCAGAAGTATAAATTGAGAAATCAGAGGACAAGGAATAACTGGATAGTATCATATTACGCCAAGATTTTCACCATTTCCATGGATAAAACTTATTCTTGGTGGCACAAATAAAGCATTGTGTGTAACGTTTATGTTTCTTAGTCTTCTCACAAAATTACAGTGAAGCATAATTTTTAGAATTGTATTTGTGTCTTCATTTATTCTTTAAGTGCAGTCGAATATTCTATAGTTTGCACATACTAATAAAATATTTGGGTGTGTGTGCATAGATTATACATAATGATAACATATGCATTTGTATGTTTTTCATGAGGCTTCGAGTTGCTTTCTTATCTTTTAAGGGTCCTCATGGGTTAAGGACTCATATGGTACATTTTATGTCTCAACTTCTGAATTTATTCTAAAGTTAAATACAAGATCAATGCAACTAAATGAGACTTCTGTCCATAATTACTGCTAAATAGCAAGGCTAAATCAAGCAAGTGAGAATCTGTTATTTAGTGATGTTGGACCATATATTCTTAGCAACAAAATACAGTATGGGAGGAACCTTTGATCCTATTTGTTCGGTATTATTCTGTAAGATATTTGACAGCTTGAAATAAGTGAGTGCTTGAGTTTCAGAGAGCTGTTGTACAAAAATAAATCTTCACATTTCATAAAATTTATTTTCACTTCATATTTGAGCTACAAACCCTGACATTTCTCAACATCCACAGACGAGGTTATTTAAACCAGTGGCTTTCAAGTTTCTTTGAATGCAACTCTTGGTAAGAAATAATTTACATTAGGACCTAGTACATACATATATATAAAACCATACATATCCTTATATATACTTCCTGATATTATCTACTCTACTGTATTCTATTTTATTTTGTGCAAATGCTGGTTGTGACTCACTGAATTGATTTCCTGATCCACAAATGGGTCATGACCTGCAATTTGAAAAACATTGATTTAGAAAATGCCTTTTTTGCTTTTGCTGAGAAGGGTTTTCCCTGAGCTAACATCCATTGCCAGTCTTCCTCTTTTTGTATGTGAACCACCACCACAGCATGGCCACTGACACACGGGTGGTATAGGTCCGCGACTGGGAACTGACCCTGGCCTGCCAAAGTGGAGTGCACTGAATTTAACCACTAGGCCACTGGGGCTGGCCCAGAAAATGCTTTTTATTGCTGGGGCACAAAGGGCTTTCTTACCTTATAATAGGTAGATTAAATCTGGTTAGATTTGGAATGGAAGCATTCTATTGGTGGATCATAGTTGCATAGTCTAACAAAAGTCGACTCATTTATGAGTATAGAAATATATAATAAAGACATAAAATTTTCTCATCTATGTCTCTAGCATAAAAGATCTTGAAATAGAGCATCCTAGTGTGCATTATGTAAGAGTTTTGGTTATTATTGAGACTGTAGAAATTATTTAATGGGAGATGTGCAGAGTGGTACATCAGATTTCTGACTCAGAATGTCCTGCCTGGGAAGGGCTTCATTTCATGGGCATTGTTGATGTTCCCAGTGCAGATCTGGAAGCAGGAAAAAAAAAAGGCAATACTAATGCAAAAAGTGATAAATGATCAGAGAGAGATTTTCATCTTCTTTTTATGGTGAGGAAGTCCTTGAATAATGAAATTTCACAGGGTACTGAAATGTATCTCAATTTTAATGAGTGGAATTAACTTGAAATTAAGATCCCAAATGAAAAAGTCACAACTATTAATTTGTAAATAAAGGCAAGTATTTAGAAAATTATTATTGTTTTACTCTCTGTTCCATCATATGTCAATGGTCACTAAAATACAGTATGCTAAGATTGTGTTGTGGGATATAGAGTAGAAAAAAGTGTTTAAGAAGAAGTCATGCTTCTGATTGCATGATGGAAAGTCTAAGATTGGTAAATATTCACCACACACAAATATGTAAAATCTATACTGTCTGCTAGTTTCTATCTTGTCAATACTTTGCATCTGGAGACCAGAGAGAAAGAAGGAAGTTTTTGTATTTCTCAATGATCCCTGTAATATTCATGACTTTGGAGAAGCTCAATGGGTAGAACGCCTTCAGATCATAAATTTGTATTTGTAAATTCAGCCATAATCTCAAATACCTATCATGCCAGATCTTTTATTTTGATTTTTAAAAAAAATTCTCTCTGCTCTTCTTTGCATTTTCTCCTGCATTCCTTAGAGTACAGCCCCCCCATCCACCCAGCCTCTCAAGTTAGGGACCTGGCAATTGTCCTAAGCCCCTCTGTCTCCTTCATTCTCTCTGATCAGTCAAGACCACATCTTTTCTGGTTCATTTCCTAAATATATCTGGAACTTGCCCCTTCTTTCCATCCCGGTTGCAATTTTCTATGTTCAGACCCTCATTATTTCCTATCTTAATTCTTTAAGCCTCTGGAGTGATCCTCCTGCCTCCAATCTACCTCTATCACTCCATCTTTGGCACTGCTGCTGGGTCAGTCCTTCTAAAAATCAGCCCATGATCGTGCCTGCCCTCTGCGGAAGATTCCCTTTCTCTTTGCTTTCTCTGGCCAGCTTTGCTCATGCTTCAAAACTCGATAGTAGGACTTCCCTGGCTCCCCAGGTCTTGTCATGCTTTCCCCACCATGGGTGACCATAGCACCTTGGGCCCAGCTCTGTCTGAACACCGTAAAACTGTTTCACTGCATGTTTGTCTCTTCCTCATAAAATTTGAACTCCTCAAAGGCAGTGACTGTATCTTTTTTGCTAGGAAATATAAAGTGCTCAGTAAATATTTGTGAAATGACTAGCTAGAAGAACCACTGTCTCAAAGCATTAACCTCCAATTCAGGCTGATATTTTTCAATTAGATTTATTATAAGTTGAACTCAGTCTTCTCAGTGGTTACCAAAGAAAGTGGAAATAGGGGACACATCTTAGAGACAGATGAAGTTTTCCCTCTAGATTACAGACTCAATTAGACTCAATGGTATCAGCCTAGAACCCAGACTCTGACATTATATTTTTAAGAGAGACAGTGAAATCTGCTCCCTTCCTGGCTTTTTCATATGTACACATAAATTATTTCCACATTGCTTGTAACAGCTTTTCTTGAACTCCATACCCAAATTGGATTTGCATTTTTAAAACCTAGACCACTTTATTTAAAAAGACAAATTCTTTAGCTATATTCTGTAACTATGAATAGTCATCTCATCATAGGTACTTTTTTCGGAAGGCATTTCCCTCTTGCTATATTGAAGTTTCAGAAATTTATGATTTAATAGCAAATGATTGCATCACTTGGCTATTGTAATGCCAAATACGTATGTATGTATCAGAGAAGTTATTTATTTTATATACATTTGTTGGGTTTTTTTTTTTATTATTGTAATGGAATTTGAAGACAGAGATAGATTTCTTGCCTGCAGTGTTAACTACAGAGAGGGTTAGCATTATGGAATGTCATTCGACTTGCTCTTATAATGATAAATATTTCCATGACAAAACCTACTGTGAACCTGTATTCTCTAGAAATTTCTCTCTCCCCTGGCTACTATTTTACCTTAAGGAGAAAACGGAAAATGCAGTAGCAGTAGATTACTGCTAGAAACTTGTAAGCAATTAAATAAAACACTCATGTATATGAAGGACATCTTTCCCTTTATATTATCTTGCCATCAGTTATGCAGTATGTAGGTTTTTTTACTCTTCTTATTCAAAGTTGATGCTCTTGGTGGTGCTATTGTCCATTCATAAATATGCCTTGAAATACAGGGTGTGTGCCAGAGATATTGAGAAGCTGGATTTTTTTGTCTAGTGACCATTCATTCATTTGTTAAAAATATGACTGAGCACTCCTTGTTGGAAATGTAAGCATGAACACAAATCCTGGCTTCAAGGAGTGTAGAGTCTAGAAGTGGCGATGAGATGTGTACTTAAATATGACAAAAGTTAAAACGTTCTGCGTTAAAAGAATCCATCCACTTCTTCCAGCTCCGCTGTCCTCACTGAGTCTGAGTCAACATCATCTCTTGCTTACGTAACTGCCAAGGTCTGCTAATTGGTCTCCCTACTATTATTTCTCCCAGCTCTTCTCAACACAGCAGCCCGAGGGGCCTTCTGAACTGAAAGTCAGATCATGTCACGCCTCAGCTGAAACTCTGGAATGGCCCCTATTTCACTGCCATAATCTACCCCCTCAAACCCTCGCATCCTGAGCCTCAGACCCCATTCCCTACTATTCTTCCCCTCCCTCACTTCCTCAGAGCACTCTAGTCTCTGCTGTTCCTTCCAAACGCCAGGTGTATTTCTTCTGCCTCTTTCTGTTGGCCCTTCTTGCTGCCTGGAATGCTCTTCCCCATATAGCCAAATTGCTAACTCCTTCCACTTCTTCAAGTCCTCAGGTCTTTGCTCAGATTTGACCTTCTTAGTAAGCCCTACTTTAACCACTACATATATTAAAAATTGGAACCCCCTGTACCCCTTCCTCTGCTCTACACGTCATTTTACCACAGCATCTGTCTCCTTTAAGTAGCACGTGATTATTTGTTTATGATGTCAATTACTTGTTTGTTCCCCATTAGAATCTCAGTTCCATAGGGCAGAGATCTTTGTTTTGTTTGCTGATGCATCTGAAGCACCTAGAAGAGTGCCAGCCCACTGTTATAAGCACTCGGTGAATATTAGTTGAATGAATGAAAAATGAATGAGATTTAAAGATGGAGTATTATTAAAATTTACAGGTGAAAAAGATCTATTCTAAGAGGAAGAGATTGGGAAGGTCTCGATGGAGGTTTGTCTGAACTGGATCGTTACGTGTGAGTAAAATTTGGATACATGCAGATATATTTAGATGAAACTGTTTTGCTCGTTGTTTTATTTATTTTTTCACTTAATGTTACTTGTAATTATTATTCATAATACTCTTGTTAAAGTCAATAAGAGGCACGTTGAAGAAAGGATGAAGTACTTAAACAGGAAAACAGCTGTAAAATTCTTTTCGGTATGAGAGTCTACTTTTCGTCTCTCTGTTTAATGGCTCATTTTTTGATGGTAGAAGGAAAGGAAAAATAAGAGAAATCATTGCAGCAATCACATTAAGTCTGTCGCTTTCCTCCTACCCTTTCAGAATGATCTCAGAGAACTGATGTCCTCAAAGCCTACTTCTAGTTAACACTCATTAAATCCAACATATACTTTAAAAAATGCTGTCATTTGCATGTTTTGCAGCTCTTAAACCTCTCCTCTTTGACGGATTTAGAAAAAAAATAACTATATAAATATTAACATCAGATAATGAACTAGTATAGTATAATGTTAACAACAACATAGTTTATAGGAGAATCCTAAACTGAAGTGCCTGCACGGTGTCTGCCTTCTTTTATTTCTTGCTTAAACTGCTCAAAATACAGCTTTTACTGCAACACCAAACACTGAACTCAAAAGTGCAATACTAAAATGACTGGAGGCCATGCTGAAAATTAAGCAGCGAAGAACTAAAAGGGACAACAGGAAATAATACAATTCCAGGCGATGCTTTGCTAATTTGGCAAGAGACTGTTGCTAAGGTACTGGTTTTCTCTGCATGCTCGTTTCTTATTCTTTCTAGACCACGCTCCAGTCAGGCTTTTATACTTGTCACTCTGCTGAAATTTCCAGTGCTCATCTTTGACATCTCAACAGCATTTGATACACTTGAAACACTTTCTTGGCTAGTATTCCTGGACATCACACTCTGGTTTCCCTCCTACCTCACTGCTGTCTCCCGAGTTTTCTTTGCAGGGTTTTTCCTCCTCCTCAGTGCCACCTCAGAACATTGGTGTGTTCTGGGGCCGAGTCTTATTTGTCTTTTGCTCTGGATCTGCGCTCATTCTTGAGGCAATCGCGTTTACTCCCACAGCTTAGATACTGTTTACGAGGTGATGACCCCAAGTGTTTATCTCTAGCACCTACCTGTCTTCTAAGCTACACCTGCTTATGATCGTTTAATAGGCATCTCAAAATTAACATGTTTAACACAGAACACTTGGTTTCCGTTTAGCCTCAGCTCTGCGAACCTCTGCTCCCCTAGTGTTGTTCATCTCAGTAAATGCCAACATCACCACTCATTCAGTAGTTCTGTCCCAGAACCTTGATTCATCCCTGACTCCTCTCTCTTTCAGACTTCATATTCAGGCCTTTCATTAATTTTTGCTGGCTCTGCCTTCAAAGTGTCCTCCACAGTTCACCCTTCTTCCCAGTCTCTGCCTCCCCATTCTAGTCCTGGTCACCATCATCTCTTGGCTGTCCTCCTGCATTAGCCCCTTACTGGTTTTCCTGCTTCCACTCCTGTCCCCTTACAGTGCGTTCTCAGCCTAGAAAACCAGTGAAGTTTTAAGAGTAAATCAAATAATGGCACATTTCCCAATGAGTTTTTATCACACTTAGAATAAATCCAAAGACTTATCCTGACCCGCAGGCCCCATGTGATTTGATCCCTGATTCTTTCTCCAATGTCACTGCTTATCTCTCTTCCCATCAACCCCAGTGCTCCATCCCACTGGTTCTTTGCAGCTCTTCAGACCGCTCACGGCCTTTGCAGTTGCTGCTCCCTCTTCCTGGAATACCTTTACCGGCACAGGAAGACGGATGCATGACTCGCTTCCTGTCTTCATTCCCTGCGCTGTCCCGAGGTCACCAGCTCAGATAGAACATCCTTGCTACCCTTTCAAAAGCAGCACCCCAACTCTACTCTCTTTCCCAGCTTTGTTTTCCTTCATAGCGGTTATCACTATTAATTGATTGTTTTGGGATATTGTCTGTCTTGCTACTATAATATGAAGGCGGGAACGTATTTGTTTATTTTTCTTTTCCCTGGCGTTGGGTAGGCCCTCAATAATTTTTTGAGCAAATGAATACCTGTTGAATAAATGTAAATTATGTGTTAAGCCTGATTTTATTTTTTTGCCTTCCTTATTTTCTCTGGTTCTGCTTTTCTCATCAGAAACATGTCATATTTCAACCACTGTACATGTCCTATTGAAGGTGACTTTTTAAAAAAATTGTATTAACCATAAAACAATATTCACTATCCAGAGAAACTTTGAAAATATTCACTAAAAATTATAAATCTCGACCCATTCATACCCTCTGTCTGGCATATTATCATTAGCTTAAGATATTTCAGATACTGGCTGTGGTTTTAAAAAAAGGTTTCCTTAGAGATACAGATTCCCATAAAAACCAAATACAAAAAGACCATGAAAGAGAGAAATACAGACAGAAAGATAGAATATGAATATTTATTTCCTTCAGTGCTTTCTGAATAATTTCCATTCAGTCCATGAAGACCTGTGGAAACTAGATCACTTATTTCATATTTTCCATGACCCAATTCAACCTATTGCCCTTAGGCTGGCCAGAACTGGAGCTAGGTTTTCTGATGGATGTTAATAGGAAGTTAACAGAAAATCATGGAGGTGAAAAACAAAGGGAGAAATGAAAGCAAGATGGCAGGCAGGGGTGAGCTGCCCCACCATCTATGTGCCAATAACCATGAGAAGAGAGAGAGTGGGCAATTTTATTTCTGGTCCCATCATCCCGCTTCACTTTACGGCCTGCTCACCTTCTTCCTGTGCTGGGTTCTGAGCTGATGGACCAGTAAGTTTAGCACACTCTTGGTTTCTTGCCCACCAGGGTACAAGTAAAGCTGAATAACTAGAGCAGTCATAGCTTTAGGGTCAATCTTTCCTTGATATTTTCGTTGTTCTTTGTATTTATTTGCTGTTAGGAAATTCTCAAAGAAGAGTGGTAATTAATATCAAAGTGGACCTATGCAGAAAGTTCTAGAAGAGCTGTTGTTCCCTGGAGGAGTCTTTTTTTTTTTTTTTTATTGAGTTACTGATAGGTTACAATCTTGTGAAATTTCAGTTGTACATTAATGTTTGTCAGTCATGTTGTAGGTGCACCACTTCACCCTTTGTGCCCACCCCCACCCCACCTTTCCCCTGGTATCCACTAAACTGTTCTTAGTCCATAATTTTAAATTCCTCATCTGAGTGGAGTCATACACAGATTATCCTTCTCTCGCTGGCTTATTTCACTTAACATAATTCTCTCAAGGTCCATCCATGTTATTGCAAAGGGAATGATTTTGTTCTGTTTTGCAGCTGAGTAGTATTCCATTGTATATATGTACCACATCTTCTTTATCCATTCGTCTGTTGATGGACACTTAGGTTGCTTCCACATCTTGGCTATTGTAAACAGTGCTGCAATAAACATTGGGGTGCACAGGACTTTTGGGATTGCTGACTTCAGGCTCTTTGGATAAATACCCAGTAGTGGGATGGCTGGATCGTATGGTAGTTCTGTTTTTAATTTTTTGAGGACTCTCCATACTGTTTTCCATAGTGGCTGCACCAGTTTGCATTCCCACGAGCAGTGTATGAGGGTTCCTTTTTCTCCTCAACCTCTCCAACATTTGTTGCTATTAGTTTTAGATATTTTTGTCATTCTAATGGGTGTAAGGTGATATCTTAGTGTAGTTTTGATTTTGCATTTCCCTGATGATCAGCGATGATGAGCATCTTTTCATGTGCCTATTGGCCATCAGTATATCTTCTTTGGAGAAATGTCTGTTCATGTCTCCAGCCCATTTTTTGATTGGGTTGTTTGATGTTTTGTTGTTGAGTTGCGAGAGTTCTTTATATATTATGGATATTAAGCCTTTGTCAGATATATGACTTGCAAATATTTTTTCCCAGTTAGTGGGTTGTTTTTTTGTTTCAATCCTGTTTTCATTTGCCTTGAAGAAGCTCTTTAGTCTGATGAAGTCCCATTTGTTTATTCTTTCTATTGTTTCCCTTCTCTGAGAAGGCATGGTGTCCAAAAAGATCCTTTTAATACTGATGTCAAAGAGTGTACTGCCTACGTTTTCTTCCAGAAGCCTTATGGTTTCAGGTCTCCCCCTTAGCCTTTGATCCATTTTGAGTTTATTTTGGTGAATGGTGAAAAAGAATGGTCAATTTTCATTCTTTTACATGTGGCTTTCCAGTTTTCCCAGCACCATTTGTTGAAAAGACTTTCTTTTCTCCATTGTATGCCCTCAGCTCCTTTGTCAAAGATAAGCTGTCCATAGATGTGTGGTTTTATTTCTGGGCTTTCAATTCTGTTCCATTGATCTGTGCACCTGTTTTTGTACCAGTCCCATGCTGTTTTGATTACTGTAGCTTTGTAGTATGTTTTGAAGTCAGGGATTGTGATGCCTCCCATTTTGTTCTTTTTTCTCAGGATTGCTTTAGAAATTCGGGGTCTTTTGTTGCCTCATATGAATTTTAGGATTCTTTGTTCTAATTCTGTAAAGAATGTCATTGGGATTCTGATTGGGATGGCGTTGAATCTGTAGATTGCTTTAGGTAGAACGGACATTTTAACTATGTTTATTCTTCCAATCCATGTACATGGAATGTCTTTCCATCTCCTTATGTCGTCATCCTAGAACGGACATTTTAACTATGTTTATTCTTCCAATCCATGTACATGGAATGTCTTTCCATCTCCTTATGTCGTCATCCAATTCTCTCAGAAAGGCCTTGTAATTTTCATTATATAGGTCCTTCACTTCCTTAGTTAAATTTACCTCAAGGTATTTTATTCTTTTTGTTGTGATTGTGAATGGTATTGTATTCTTGAGTTCTTTTTCTGTTGGTTCATTACTGGAGTATAGAAATGCTACTGATTTATGCAAATTGATTTTATACCCTGCAACTTTGCTGTAGTTGTTGATTACTTCTAACAGTTTTCCAATGGATTCTTTGGGGTTTTCTATATATAAGAT